CCCATTAATACTTTTTTTTTTAGCCAGAGTCTTAAAAACAGAATGGGCAAATTTCAGGTAAAAGAACAATAAGGAAACAGTGAGAAAGATCACGTGCCGCATGGCCTGGCTGTACTGAGTGATGAATCAACCTGGAACAATTGCGATTTTCATTAACTAAGAAAAAGAAAGATTAGGAGTATATGTTGTCTGAGTATAATTGCAGCAGGCCATTTGTGATGTTGCGTAGCAGTATTCTGTCAAAACATGTAAACAGGGCTGATCTTTTGCACTCATACTGTTGTAGAATTTAAAAATCAGTCTTGTGTTTTCCGTGGTTCAGTCAGTTTTGGTTTAAAAAACAAACCTAATTTGACTGCAGCCAAGGAGGATGTTGAACATTTCTTACTGTTCATTCATTTTGAAAAATCAGCCAGCTGTAAAAGCTGCTTTTTATGATATTCAGTAAAGGAAAAACTGAGTTACAGAATTATCATGTCAGAATTTCCTGTAGGATAAATGAAAATGAAATAGAAGTTCATAAGTGATTTGATTACTAATCCTGGGGTTTACAAACTACCTGGCAACTGTTACAGTGCAGGAAGTGATAGGACCAGCAGCAATCGTTGCATTATTTTCAGTGAAAACAGATTCTCCCTGTGTAAAGTATGTGACTGGTCCATCTTGGGATGGGGGAGGTTGCCAGGCAAGTTTTTTGCTATCATTCATAATTATTTTCATGCTGTGCCCTGTCAAGAAAAAAATAATCCTGGTTCTGTAGGAATCTTTGCAAACTGAGATGCCAGGACTGGTCTTCCTCAGTTCCAGATGCTTTGTCAGAATTGTAGTTCCCTGAGAGCTGGAACTCGTGCATACCTGTGGAAGCAGATGAAAGAATAAGAATAAAAATAAGATACCAAATTATTTCTGCTTGTACATGCCTGACAAAAATCATCAAAGGTTATTATAATTGCGACTTATTAGATATGGTGTCTGGTTTCTACATATTTAAATTCTTTCTGGGAGAGGTGAAACTTGGGCACTTAGAGATCTCAAGGGAATAATTGCAGAAATGATGACATATTCCACTTCTTGAACAAATTTCAATACCAAAGCTGCATTCTGTGTACTTATATTTCTTCTTAATTATACTTGGATGCAGGATAGATAGTCGTTTTCTGTCTTACAAATGCGTGTAGCCAATTAGTCTGGTAGATCATGAATACCCAATAGCCTAACTCATTAAATGGAATTTTCCTTTGCTGTTGTTATGGCAAAGGAGTCTGCAAATAGCTGAATATCATCTTTCTCTGTGAGCTCAGCCTTGGCCAAGGCTACAAATCAGTAACGAGCAAGTGAACAGTTACTGGGCTTACCTGTACTCCTTGCAGTATGCCATCTTAGTCTCGTGAGTGTTTGTGTGGGTATTGTAAATGGGTATAGGCTGTCCAGCTCCTCTGTATTTCTGGTGCTCAGTTTTAATGGCACGGTTTTGATGCGATGTGATGAATTTGGTCTTCCTGATTTCCTCCCATTCCTGATAAATTCTGGGCCCAGAAGCTCTGTCTGGCCCACTGAGACATGGAGACCTGAGTTCTTTTTGCTATGGAAGCAAAGATAAGAAAAACTGGCAATGTGTCTCTGAAGAAATCACTGCTTATACGAAATGATCACACACGGGTGCTCTTTTCTTCTTCCCTCTGATTTTTTTTTGAATTATTATTATTTTTTGCATTGCATGCTTGCCATTCTGTCATCTGAGAGTATGAAGATAACACAGGTAGCTTAGACTGCCTCACAGGCAGCATTCGTAGAGACGACGAAGGCAGAACATTATGAACCAGGGAACCACGAGACAATTGTGAAACGAGTGACAGACCCAGTATTGCTTTGAGCCAGTTTTGCTAACTTATGGTACTGGTAAATAATGAATACAATGTGAGGACATGATTTGGTGATTGGCCTTGGTGCTTTCACTGGTAGTTTTTCAGTGGTAGCATGTTTCCCCAAGGGTGAGTGTTGCTTATCTAACACTTCGTCCTCCTCTTTTTCATAATATTGAATGACATCTGAGACTTTCTGCTGTAGCACTATGCTACCATACTGAGTTGTCATTTTAAAAGCAACGGTCTGAAATGTTACAGAAACAAGAAGGCCTCTCTGTTCAGGGGAAATGTTCCCTGTAATCTTACTAATAGTGTAGTTATCTCCAGTGCCTTCTTGACATGCATTTGCAAAACTCCTCTGGGGATTTGAATTGAATAACTGTTTTCTTGACAGAAAAAAACACCTTACTCTTTAGGGGAATGGTAAATGGTTACACTGGATTTAGGTTACTAAAATTTGAGCGTGTTCTATCTGTTGTTATTTATATTTGCAGACTTCCCAGAGAAACATTGATGGAAATTTTAAATGTCGTATAAACAAACTCTTAAATGCCTCTTAAAAGTGTGCAGAAATATACAGCTTTTCTACTGTTAGGAGTCTGTTACTGGATCTGTAATTCAGGGTTTGTGCCCCTTCTGCTGTGTACCCCACACCTGTGGTCCTGGGGAGTTAACACTCACTCCCTCTGGGGAGACAAGCTGGGTGCTCACTCTCTCCCCTGCTCTCCAGGGTTTACTTTGGGAATGCTCCAGGTGCATGCAGAGGGAAGAGGAAGCAAGAGTTATTTCATGAAGTCTTTCTGTTTGGCAAGTGGAGACTTATATGTATATACTGTATGCATACACATATATACACTGTAATGTAGATATGATATTGCTGTTCTTACTTCTTCATGTTGTTTTTTCTGTCACTGACTGTTAGAGAAAATCCTAATCTTATCTTTTGCTTTTACTCCTTGTGCCTTAAAGGATCAAAACATTATTATCTGATCTGCATCTCCTTGCTAATTCACATGGACCTTATGATGGAGGCCTTAAAACATCTACAAAACAGCTGCCACTAGGATGTGGTGGAAGTCTTTCAGGGAGGGGGGAGAGTCTTGAGTACAGCTTTGCTCACAGATTTTAAAAGTTTGGAGTAAAATATGAAACCATTATTGATTCTCAAAATAGTGACAGCAATAAAAGCAGTGAGTAAATTCAACTTCCTAGACAGTTGTAATTTGCAGAATGCATTTGTCAAATAGTATGGAAATAATCCAGGGCCCATTTAGGCGAAAGAAAGAGAGAGATGCTCAGACTAAAAATATGAGCTAAATGTCCTCCAAGGTTTGCAGAAATTTGGCTATAAATTTCATTATACAACTTAGTAATGGACAAAATCAAAAGGTGTTGTATGTGGGATTCTGAAACTTGGGGAAATTCAGATTTTGTTTCATACCTACTTGGCAACTAAATGCAAGTGATTTGTCTTGGCTGATACACCGGAAGACTGTGCTGCCATCCAGCGATTCCTGGACAGGCTGGAGAGTTGGGCACAGAGGAACCTCATGAAGTTCATCAAGGGCAAGGGCAGGGTCCTGCACCTGGGGAGGAACAACCCCATGCATCAGTACAGGCTTGGGGCGGACCTGCTGGAGAGCAGCTCTGTGGAGAGGGACCTGGGTGTCCGACAAGTTGACCATGAGCCAGCAGTGTGCCCTTGTTGCCAAGAAGGCCAGTGGTTTCCTGGGGTGCATTAGGAGGAGTGTGGCCAGCAGGTCGAGGGAGGTTCTCCTCCCCCTCTACTCTGCCCTAGTGAGGCCCCATCTGGAGTACTGTGTCCAGT